CAGAGCTGTCTTCTTTCTCACAGAGGTCTATCAGTAGCTGTGCCTATAGTTCTGGTTCCCTGAGACCTGGCTAAAGAACATCTGAGCTCCTTTCCATGTTAGCTTTCCCATAAAAGTAAGGAATGTGAGGATAAAAATTGAAGAATGCACTCAAATCTTCCATGGATACAGTATTTGGATATGAATGGGGCACGGAGCCAGACCAAGGAACTTAAAAACACTCTCAGATCTTGCTGTGTGAACATAGCCAAGATGACCAGCATTTGTTTGCAAGGATTTACAAGACTGTCACGGACACCACAGTCTGTGTGTGTCCATGGCAGCTTTTCCTGTGCCTCTCCTGGGCTTCTAACATTAACATTCCTTTCAGTCAGGGACCCAGAGGAGCTAATGACTCATAGCTCCTACAGGTATGGAGTACTTAAAGAATTGAGTGCCATGCCATCTCTTGTAATTATGCTGATAGGTTTGACAGGCCTAGAAACTTTAATAACATCTTAAAAGCATACTTCCTGGAGTAAACAAGAAGCTCTTAACTATGGGGAAATTGAAGAAGCAAAATGTAATTGCCTATTGCTATGCTGCTTATTTCCCCTTTTCCAAGGCAGCAATTCCTCCACATATACCTTAGTGCTACAAAGCAGTGAAATCTGATGACAGCTCTCATTACCCAAAATTACGTTCATGGCCTTATCCTGTTTTTCTGATTATTATAAACTAATAGTCTTACGTTGTGCAGAGCTGGGGATTTTCCCAAGGACAACACACAATTTTGATTGTCTTAGTGGACAAAAAAATATAGCTAAAATCTGCAGTAATTCTCTCCAAAGTAGTTGACACAGGGAGCATTGAGCTGGATACCAGAAAAGCCCGTTTATTTATGGGATGCAGTGTTTTATGCATGGAAGCATGTGCTTGATCATTCTCCATTCTTTGAAGAATATCAGAGAAACTCCATTGTATTGGGTTTCTAAATTCAGTTCTTTCTTTTCTATGCAAGTGATGTTGCAGAAGATTCACCATAAGACCAAAGCAGTTTGTAACAGAAGAAAATGTGAGGCTTTAATCCACGATGTTGATTGTCCTGGTTTCAAATAAGTATTGTCACCTAACTTGGGCTTAAAAAATTAGAATGACTGAAAATGTCTAAGGAAATAATGATGCTGTTTCTTTATTGGCACTTAGTTGTGCTGTTAGCCTGCTAGGTATTTATGGGAAAAGGTATATTTTCAAAAGAGAAGAAGCTAGATGAAAAAAATATAGCATTTTCTCCTTAGAGCAAATTATATGAGCTTTCCTTTTCCATGGTAGCAGTAGTCCTCATGAAACAGCATGAGAAAGAATGAATTTCTAGCAAATTCAACATGTAAGTTTTTCTTTGGACTAATCTACAAAGTAAATTCCTGTGACAAGGCTTGACTATTTCAAGCAAAGAGTAGTCCCTTGTGTAGCTGTGGCCAGACTCTCTGTTGGCTTCTAACAAAATATAGCACACAGGAGCTTGAATGGCAGAAGTTCCCTTAGAGAGATGTTCTCTTAGAGAGATATTCCTAGATGAAAGGTGGCAACTAACTGCTTTTCCCTGGTGGATCACAGGAGAGAAAAAGCTGTCTGAGAGTAGCTAGTGCTGGTTGGAGTTGAATGTGACCAAGGATAAAAGCAGATGTTCCATTTTGGGATTTGTGCAGTGTTCTCTCCCTAAAAAAAAAACGCTTTGAGAAATGCTCCTTGCCAGTCTATCTCATGAAGTAAGAGAGTGGTAGAAACCACATTTGACTTCCTCTTGAAGTTAATACTTTTCTTTGTGTGTGGTAAGCAGCTGGGGCATCTCTTCAGAAGCTGTAAAGAGTTTCCTTTTATAGCTAGAAAGTTGGGCAGAGTAGACTATATAAAGGAAATTTTTGTCTTCCATCCCTAGCCATAGATATAGCCTGTGGTTGGGAAGTACAGAATTTCAATAAAGAGTAACACAATTATTTCCATCTTCATTTCCACCCACAACTCCCAAGGAATAGTCAGAAGCTTTGACCTTGAATCTGAACCAGGAGTTCCACCTCAGCCAAAAGGTATTCTTTCTATTTGGAGTCTCTGGTGAAATGCAGAATGATGGAAGAAAAACCTTCCCTCACAGCTATTTCCTATGCAAGTTAAAGGCAAACAGTACCATTTATTATACTTTCTATGAAGGAACCAGAGTATAGGAATAGAAGGCTTAAAATACCATTTTAATTGACATCCTCTTTACCACAGAAGAAAAAGCTTCACTGGATCTTTACCTCTGCAAATGATGTGACATTCTGAAAGTGTCCCAAAAAAATGGAGCAACATTTTTAACCCCCAGTATTAGGCTATATTCTGTAGTACATTTAATAGGTCTTACCAATGTTACTAGGCTTGCTTTTCTATAGGTCTGTGTTTTAGATTTAACAAATAAGAGGGAGAAGTCTAAAACAGATTAAATTGTTTCCTCATGACTCAGAAGTAGTCAGGTAGGGGAGACAAATTACTTAGCATCCAAGGGGCTACATACATACCAGCTTCACAAAATTCCTACTGAATTATGCAACTGCAGTCTGTTGATTACAACTGTGCAAGATTTTCCTAAAACAGGGTGGTCATTCATAAGTAAAACTTCCCACAGTTTCCTGTATAAGACAAGGTTAACATTTATGGTATCAACAGTTAGGATGTTTCAAGTGAAAACTCAGAATATTGATAAAACAACAAGGAAACTAGAGAAAGCCTTAACTGACAACAGATAAAACTCAAGAGTGCAAAGGTAACAATCTCCTTTGAAACTCTGGAAACCCATCCTGGTGTTTTAAAGTAAGGATGATCTAGCTTAGGGTAGAGATATGAAACAGATTGTGGAACCTTAGAGTAACTGAAATGGAAAACAAAGAGAGTTATTGCTGATGATTAGCATTCCACATGACCTCTTACCTTGAGGAACACAAAGTACACACAACAGTTGGTCTGATTGCTTGGCAGTAACAACTGCTCTTGTGGTAAGCATGATAGCTCTCTGGACAAGAAGCAAACATTTTGCTGTGAGAGAAACACCTAAGATACATACTGCTATGGTGTTCTAAGAGGAGGCTCAGGGGAGACCTTATCACCCTCCACACCCTCCTGAAAGGAGGTTGGAGTCAGGTGGGGGTTGGTCTCTTCTCCCAGGCAACCAGCAGGAGGACAAGAGGGCAAAGACTCAGGCTCTGCCAGGGGAGGTTTAGGTTGATTATTAGGAAGAGATTTTTTATGGAGAGAGTGCTCAGGCATTGGAATGTGCTGCCCAGGGAGGTGGTGGATTCACCATCCCTGGAGGTTTTTAAGATGAGACTGGATGTGGCACTTAGTGCCATGGTCTAGTGACCATGGTAGGGTTGGACTTGATGATCTTGGAGGTCTTTTCCAACCCAGTTGATTCTATGATTCTATGATTGGTTTCTGGTGCAGAAACAGGAGGGGAATATTCCAGTTTTCCTGACATTCTTTCCAGCAACAAAGTATTTGTAGTACACTCAAATTATACTTTAAGTGTAACAGATGCAACAGATTTTGCTGTATAAATGAACACCAGAATAGTCAGTAGAAAAATGTACATTCCTTTGTAAGAGATTCCAGTAGTTTTAGTATTGTGTTTAGCATGAGAAAGTGAGTTAAACAGTATCCTAGGGCAGATGATCATGAACAATACAGAAAAGGGTTCTTTGTGAATAGTGAATTACCTTGCATATATGAGACTAAGGTGCCCAGTTTCAAAGGTGAGCTTGAATAGAATGTGCCAAGGGGTTAGTGAAAATATCTATAGTTTATGTGTTGAGGAAATTGGGATTTTCTGTAATGTAAAACTGCAAGAATCTGATTTTCTATTTTTATTGCAAGCAAGGAGAAATGATTGAAAACAATATCCATGAATAGAAATTAATAGGAATAAGGTGGATGTGATCAGAAAAAAAATACCAAAATGATAGATTAGAAGACAAGAATGATTAGGATAAAATGAGGATTAGAAAAGTGAAAAATAAAAAAGATAAAAGAGCTAAGCATCACATAGAATATAAAAATTAATAGGGAAAAAATGCCCCTTCAGTTAACTACTTGTCTCTATAGCCTAACTACCCTATATTTTCTTTTCTTAGTTATTTTCTTGTTTGGAAAGATAACTGAGGTCCTGAAGGAGAGGTAACTTCAGACAAGGATGTCAGAGAAGCACATATTGCTACAGGAAGCTCTGACTTCAGAGGCTATAAGAGCACAAATTCTAGGATGTTTGAATAAATATATGAATGAATATGCTCAGAATTAATATATTCCTAGCTACAAGTTTTGTTGACATTGTTATTTGAGCGGCAAACAGCTAAAAATTAGACATAGATTTGTATTACTTACAAATTAAGTATTTCTTGATCCATACTATTGCGGAGTAAATTTTATCTGTTGCTTGTACTGGTGTTAGTCTTTATTATCTCACCATGCATGAATTTTCCTCCACCTGTATTTAACTGATGAAGCATGTGCATACTTGGATGTGATAACTTTCTGCTTGTTGCCTTCCAGATTTGGTTTTTTTTTTTTCGAACCAGATGTTGAAGCTTAGTGTGTTTTTAATACGATGCAGTGCATACTTAAACTGTTTGCTAGTGGCCTGACTTAGCAGGTACATGCAGTTCTGCCTGCGGAGTATCTTGGGTCTAGTATGTGCTTTCATTCATTTAATTTCAGTGATATAGCAGGTGGAACAGCAGCTGGAAAGTGGTTAAAAACAATCACAAGTCCTAAAAGAAAAATTTGCCAGAAACTCACAGAGGCTGAACACAGGCACAGGTTTATTCTTTACTGAGGCTTTATAGTGACTGAAGACTTGAGTGTCTCTGAGTTAGAGGATACTAGTCACAACTGGTAGCCTTGGTAGATCATATCTAAGCTCATTACAGCAGTTGCAGACTCCAATGAATTACATGGAAAAGTTTAGCAGTTGAATGAAAGGGTTGACTTACTGAAGTAAAAGCCTCTGTCTCCACAGACGAACTGAAGAGCATCAACCAGCTCAGCACCACAGAGTGTTTCTGGGCCAGCAGCAGCAGAACTGGTTAAGGTGAGCAAACACAGGCCAAGGTAGAAGAAATGGATGTAGGACACAGTGTGCATCTTTACCTGCCAAGGAAGCAAAAGCAGTGTCAGAATTTCCCAACAGAGTCTTCAAGAAAATGACTCCTACACCCTTTTGAGTGTACTGTAAGTTCTTAGGCAATAAACATAATATCGGGAAATGTCTCACCATAATTTTGCAACTGTCTACATATTCTAGTCCATGTATTTTGTAAACTGAGTATTTCCTCTGCTGAATATTGTTGGTTCATTACCATGTAGTTAGGGAACCCTGTAGGAACTATGATCTATGGTGGCTCCTGCAAAAGGAGGATATGGAAGGGTGCAATAGACAGGCAAAAGGAAGCCCAGGATAATAGGAGTAGGAAAGACAACCTTGAACTGGTTGAACTCAGACCAGTTAGGCTAAGAGAGAATATAACAGTTGCCTGCCAAGGTACTGTGGGAAATAAGGTGGCATTTGATGGAGAAGATATATTTAAACTAAGAACCAGCATTGGCACAAGAATACACGGCTGTAAACTGGATGGAAGGAAATTTGAGTCAACGGGAAAAGAGTTCAAAATTACTACTCCATGGCTCTCCAGCCACCTTAAAAAGGAAAATACCAGAACAAAACAAAAAGAGTTTCAAGGTACAGAATGCCAGAGTCACTGAAAGAGCTGATGTGGGACCTCCCAGAGTAGAGGACCACAATCAGTGATTCTTACAGTCCGCTGTTACTAGCAGCAAAGATTTGGAAGCATTTGAGAAATTAAGGGGAGCACTAGTGGAAGCATTTTTACTTGCTGGAAGCAGCTACACTTCATTGCCATCCATTATATCCTCTCAGGTCTGGCTATGAGCTAAATACAAGGTGACAATTCTTTTCTCATTTACATTTGGTTACAAACTATCTTTTTTTCCTGTACTTATGACTGAAATAAGGCAAATACTGGATGGGTGTAAAGTTGCACCATTCCATTTATCCACTTCCTTTTGTATCAACTTAATACAGCCATAGATCTTACCCAACATATCAAAGCAGATACCATTTTTTTAATACCAGGAAAAACTGTTTAGACATAGCAGGACACTGAAGGATGTGCTTAGGATGTATTCTGACCTTATTTAGATCACTTGCCAAAAATGTCAATTTCTAAAGGTACAAATCTGTATTTAATTTCATTCTCTTTCAAGGTTAACTTTAGCATTGCAGTCAGGCAAGAAGTTACAAATCTGCCTTGCACATACAGTTAAACTTGGCTTAAAACTGCTTTGCATTAGCAGAGCTGTGCAAAGTAATTGGAGAAAAATGATTAATCTTCCCTAAAGTTTCTTTCAGTGTTTCATGGACCAGTTAATCCTATTTCTTCACTGAACTTTTGACAAACTAATGAAATTATCCATTGTCTGATCGATCAGGATCTGATCCAAGGGGATCTTGTGCATTCTCTAATCAATAAGTTTTACGAATTCTTATTGTCTTGGCAAGAGATCTTAGTACCTTGTTGGATGAGTCCCCCATTTGCACCATGAAAATAATGAACAAATCTAAATCCCAGGATATATCACCATAAAAGAAAAGAAAGAATAATTATTTTCCCATTCACAAGAGTCTTTAACCAATTTTGCCATGCAAAACCCAACAAGCTTGAATGCATGGACATGACTTCAATGGAAGATGTAGGAAGATCAGACTATAAATGAATGATGACAACACGAGGCCTCATTTCCTGTGGTGATTCCATATCTTAACAACAATTTCTCTTTTCCCTTGCCATATTTTGGAATTTATAAGACAAATGAGATGCACCTGCAGTTTAAGATGGTTCCCAGTTCTGAGGAGGTAAAGCAGAAATCTGTTTAGCACACTGCCTCAGAAGGCTGAAAGACATTACAAATACAAGAACATTATGTATTTAACAATTTGTTCTCGTATAACATTTTGTCCAGAAATAAACATAAATCTTAGGCATTTAACAATTCTGTATTTTTCAAGACTTCTCAGCTGGCTTGAATTTTCAGATAAATATCAGCACTGAACTACAACAAAACAGATTATCTACTGTTTTTCCTTTAGTGGAAGCCAAAAAGGCTGCACAGTATAAACCACAGAGAATTTCTGACTTTATCTCCAAATTTAACAACAGTCAAGAACTTTCAAACAAGTAAAAACTTTGGGGAAAAGAAAGCAGACTCACATGTTTCCAGGATTCAATCAATTTTTTGATAAATTAAGTGCTGGTTCATCAAAACTAATCCCAAAACATAGTTGAAAACTTTACTTCATCATTTTAATTAAACATAACATTAATAGATTCAATATGTTTGCGATAAAATCAAAGTTCCCATTTATGTCTGAGGGGAATAGTCTTAAGAAAATACCAAGTTGAAATCCAATATTGCTCCAGGTTCTCTACAATCAAGCAGAGAACTTACATTATCCCCAATTTGACTAGAAAGTTGAGAGCTTAAAAGCAAAGGCATTGGCATGTGGGTGGGGTTTATCAAGGCATCTAATTACATTAGGAAATTGAACACAGGTTCAAGATGAGCCTGGTTAAGCACTTCTTTCAGCTGCATAGAATGACTGACCGTATTTTCACAGCTGGAGTTTCCTCTTTTTGTCAGTAAAACACGCAGCTTTTGCTGCATTCCTCTGTTAAGAGTCCAGCAGAGTGGCACTGCAACGGGACATCAGATCTGAGCACTCTACATCTCTTTTGGTTCTTAATTCCTCTACATCAGTTCTATTCTTCTAGCAAACTGTCAGCTGACACAAGTTGTGCATAAGAATTCTTCACATGTTTGGTCATTTTAGCAACATGTAAGAACATCTGCAATAATTCTAAGTATCTCAAAGTGGGCAATATTTTTAGGGAGAGCTTATGCTGTAGAAAAAATCAGGAGTTATACATAAAAAATGACATTTTACTACATAGAGGTTGGGCCTGATTATCAAGCCATAGTAGAAACATGCATTTATTATCCAATAGCAGCATTCACTAGTAATCATTATACAAATAAAACATATATACTCTCAAATGGATCAAGGTTTAAATACTGTTAACTTTGAGTAAAGCGTCTGGGCTACATGCTAACCTCAATCAATATGCTCCATTGATTCCAAGGAAGCTTGGCAGGATGCACTAGCTGGGGAACTAGCACATTACTTTTATGTCTCTTAGTGCCTTGCTCAATACTTTGAAAAAAAAAATCATCATCATCTTTCAAGATTGTTGGAAGGGCTGCCCATATATACATTAAGGAATGATTTCATCCACTGCAATTACAGACCTGCTCCTTTGAAGCATATTCAGGGATGAGATAAATGTATTTTAAGTGTAAGACACTAAAAACCCCAAACAATTAGGCCCCAAACAATTAGAGCAGGAGAATTCTTTCAGCTGCAAAAATGTCCTTGCAAAATATTACAGAAAAAAAATGTTCTTGAAGGGGATAAATTTGCTGAGAATGGAAAGCTGAACTGAAGCCAATTGACACAAACAGAGGTCAATGCACCTACGGAAGTCAAATTTACCTAAGACAGTTTCTAATAATGTGCAGAAATTATAGGGTCATAATATCAAACTTCACATGCAAACTTTCCTGAAGCAGCCCTCCCTCCAAGGGAAAACTTGGAGATGAACATGTAAGGGAATTTCCATTTTCTTTATGTACAATTGCTTAAGCTGTGCAAATATGCAAGGTCAGCAAGAGTTGCAGCTGGTTCCTAATGCAGAAAACAAACTGAACTTCTAATTTACTTTTAATTTCTGAAAGCAAAAACCAAGTAAATGCTACGATGCTGCCAGAAAATTGCTGCAGTGACAACATTCCTTAAAAGTTTCCTTGTGAAATCAGGAACATTTTCTCTGTAATTGTGCACAATAAAACTGCAGAAACTTAACATTTGAATAATACCTTTTCTCCTAGCAAACCCTGCACCTGCAGAAAACAGCTAAAAGTTCTTGTTTTCAGAAGCATTTACTAACAATACAGACAATGATGTTATTGGACCTTTTGCTAATGGCATAAATGAAATATCACAAAGTTCTCTGAATAGAAGTGAAATTTAAGACATGGATCTGCAATAGTTTAGCCTTACAGTTATCTATGTAATTGCAACTATTACACACAGCCATTTTCCAGATCACATAAAATTGCATGTTCAGCAATTTGCAAATAATTCTCAGTTCTAAAATCATGTTATTGACAAAGTGCACAATACTCTTCAAGCCAGCAGCAGACAACACACAGCAAAATCAAACTCAGAAATCATTTAAAATAGGAATAAAGATTTACCTTCAAGAAATCACACAAGCAGCACTTAACTAATTGTGTTGAAAGACTGTTGATTTTTTCCATTGCTTCTTAAAAGTGCAAAGTCTGGAAATGAATTTGTTAGCAGTAATGATGAGAAAAAAGAAATCCAGAGAGATGTGAGATGTTGAGAGCAATGTCACATTTCAATATTGAGGACTTTATTCCATTGCGCAGGCTCTATCTGCTCTGATTTTAGCAGTGACAGTGAGATTTAGCAAACAGAAGAGGGATTTAGAGAAAATCCTCACATTTATCTACATTACACAGACACTGTAGACAGGAAACAGCTGGGGGAGCATTTGCCTTCTCTCTCTCTCCCTCTTCTGGCAAAGTTACCGAGTAAGGACTTTTTTGGGCACGGTGACAAATAACATCATACCTTTGCATTTTAAAACTAGAGCACAGAAGCATATTTTTTTCCCTTTAAAAGAATGCGAATTAGTGTCTGAGGGGGTTAGCAGACAAAAAGAGCTTGTGCTGCCATGAAAAATAGGAAAATGTATCCTGGTTAAGTTTCAGATAGCTACGTGTGTGCATTTGTATTTGTGTGTGTGTGCGTCTGCATTTCAAATAAATAGAAACTTACATGTGTAGGGGCAACGTTGGTTATATACATATCTTTGTGTCTATACATACATGCATAGAGGCATAGGTGTTTTCTTTATGCAGTGCAGAAAGGGAGTCAGCTACCTCCTGCTCTCTCAATGCATCTTTACGTTGTTACACTTGGCACACCTATATGCTGAGTAACAATTAAAACCTCCAACGCTCGGTGCAATTAACCCTAAAATAGCAGTTTGCAGTCGACTAAAAGGAACAGAATTATTGAGCACTACTTGTAAATAGGGCAAAAGAGCTTTGTGATCTTTCAGCAACTGCGCAGGAGAAATCACACAATTTCTTTGACTTTACAGAGCTCTGAATACAGTGACACAAGTAGCTCAGTTTGAGGCTTCCATGGCATTCGTCTTAGAGCTGCTGTTGGAATTCTAAAGTGAATCCCCCCCTTTTTTTAGTAGTAATCTTCAAAAGTCTCTTTTGCACGATTTAAATGACGCTGGGGTAGAGAGAATTCGACTTTATTAGCTTTGCAATACCTAAGTTTTGCCTTTTTATTTTTCCTCAATTATGAGCATATTATAAATAACCCCAGCTGGCCAGCAACATGCTCTCACGGGTTATGATGTCATTCAAATCCCTCAACTGTGTTAGTGGCTTGCAATGTGCTCCAAGCCAGCTGTTTTTCTATTTATAATGTATGCTTGCATTTCAATACTTAGCTATTGCAAAGAAAGTTGCGATGTTGGTTTATAGATACGCTTTGTACTCGTTGCCCTCTGGGTTTGGAAGATGGCATTTAAAAGTAGAGGGCTAAACACGACTGCAGATCCAGAGACCAAATACATGTCACAAACAGTGCATGATTTCCATTAAAGCTGTTTTAGGACGTTGCATTTTGTCCCTGTCCACATCTACTCAGCTGAGCGTTGCATGCTGAGGTGCTAGCTGTACTTGATTGTAGAAAATAACAATTGAGATCATGTTGGCCCGGATCTGTTCTCAGTTCTCAGATCCACCTTGAACTCTATGGTGCTTGCCAGGCAGAAAGGACACATTTAGTTATTTGTATCCTGTATGAATGGCTAATACTCTGCTCTGTGCAGTTTTAAACAGTGTATGGTTAGCTAAGCTGATTAATCTTTGGAAGGGATTTCTAATGTAACATGATGACAGAATCACAGGGGGCTTTGAGGTAAGTTTGCTTAATTCAGGTAATGCTAATATTTCAAGTATTCTAATACACATGCTGCAGGTGCTGTACTTTAATATTCTGCTCTGGTTTCTTCCTCTCCCTCTGCATTTGAGAGGTCACTGAATAGTGGCACCACTCTACACATTGAGGAACCTCAGGGAAGATCTTATCACCCTCTACAACTCCCTGAAAGGAGATTAAGGTAAAGGAGTCAGGCGGGGGTTGGCCTCTTCTCCCAGGCAACCAGAGGAGGACAAGAGGGCACAGACTCAAGCTCTGCCAGGGGAGGTTTAGGTTAGATATTTTGAAGATAATTTTTCTGGAGAGAGTGCTCAGGCATTGGAATGGGCTGCCCAGGGAGGTGGTGGATTCACCATCCCTGGAGGTTTTTAAGATGAGACTAGATGTGGCACTTAGTGCCATGGTCTAGTAACCATGGCAGGGTTGGACTTGATGATCTTGGAGGTCTTTTCCAATCCAGCTGATTCTATGATTCCATGCTGCAGCCTGCTGCAACTCATAGCACATGTATCCCTTATTTCACCATCCTTGGAGAAGGATGTGGGAAGAAAAACTAGCAAAGCTCTGGTAACTTTCTTTTTCTTTTTAATTTTACAGTACTACAAATGGGTGCACATACTTCTGACTATTTCTTCCTAAATAAGAGAAGGTATATGCTCATTCATAACTTCCCCAATGCCTGAGCTTCAAACCCTCATCTCACTCCTCATTGCTTGCTTTCTCCTAGGTTTCACCAGGCCTCTCTTGGTCACGAGAGCAGCATGAAATAGAAGATGCAACTTTTGGCTTACAGGTTAACCAGAGAATCATAGTGTCTCTACACAGCTGGTAATCCTGCTTCTTTCCATGGAGCCATTCTGAACTCCTTTCCTCAGTGCACCTGACCAGCCTAAGGTTCTGATGCACTTCACTTACGTGTTTTGGTTCTTGTTTTAAAGTATTGTGAAGAGGTAGGAAAACAGAATGGATTCAAGAGAGGGTTTTGGTTAAGAACTTTTAGACTTAGTGCAGTGCTTTTCCTCTCTAAGATGTAATTCTATATTTTTCTAGAAAATTCAAGATCCTTCAGATCCTTCTGGTCTGGGGATCTCTTGTTTCCTAAAATACAGATTCTATGCTGGGGATAATATTCCAGTCAGCACAGCAGTCACTTAACTCTTGGAGATTTGTTCATTTCTCCCTTGTTAAATAGATTAGCTGTTACTTTTAAAATCATTTAGGGTAAAGTCCTCTATGACTTGGTGCTCATGCAGTTGCATACATTCCTTTGACTAAAATGCACCGGTAAACTACGGATTTTATGGCAGTCATCAAAATCCTCACAAAAGAGGAGAAAATCTACACTAAAAGGCAACATCATATATGTCTTTGTTTGGCTTCCGAAGTATAACATGCAGTGATGTAATAGTCACAAAGACATCTTAAATGTGTGAAAGATGTAGTCAGGTGTTCAGGAATTTATGTGTCCTGATTCTTAGCACTTACACCCCTATGATATCACTACCATGCTACAATGCTACAGAGCTTCTGTATCACTTTGTCCAGGGAAAACTCTGTTTTGTACAAGACAGCAAAACTGAAGATAGTCTATTATCCTAACTAATATATTGTCCCTCCTTAAATCCTTTCTAAAAAGGTAGAAACATTGCCACAATGCCTGAAAAAGGCTGAACTGTGGTGGGGTGATCAGTATGCCATCCTCTTGCACTCCTCTATATTAGATCACTCTGACCTATCTGCAGTTATTTGTAGCTGTTGTCTGGTTTCTACATTTGGATGATAAGTTTTCTGGTACCAGGAGAGAACCACTATAATAAATATCCCTGAGAGGGTGATAGGACGGAGAGCATGATGGAAGAGAGGATGGAAAACTATAAACATGGTGGTGAACCACAGTTGATGACAATAGAAGAGACAAGATAGTCTTTCACTCTATTGTCTGAAGGATGTTCACCTTACACGGAACATACACAGACTCAGTAAGGTTCATGTTGTATGAACAGATGATTGAACTACACTGGATGCCATGGGTAATGTGTCCCCTGTCCTCTTCACCCCCACCAAAAAGCAGAAGAACAGGAATGACGTATTGAGTCTTCCCTTGCCTTACCAACTGCTTACTGCATTCAGTTCACCGGGAAAATGGGAACTGGTTTTTTTTGTACCCTTTTTTTATGTCCTAATCATGATATTAGACGATGCCTAAATCTTGGCATCTAGTATAATTTTTAGTGCTGCCACTACAGAATGGTTCTTTTCCCCCATAAGTCCTTGTGTCCTGTTTGCTGACATCATCTAGATTTCTGGCATACTTTGGAGCATTTCAAATGGCCTTCAGCACCTGCAGGGAACTGAGCATCACCCATCCTTCTTTCAACATGCTGAGCTGGGGCTCTTATGCAGCCTTTTGCCTGGGAATTACCTTTGGCTTCTCCATCAATAGAGACACTGTCTTCTGTCATTTGCTATTTTTACAATCCATTTGTGAAGAGGTTTTAAAGTGGAGAACATAACAATTTTCATTGAATTTCAGCATCCTCTGAGTGTCTATTTTCCTTATTCACCTTTGCTTAGCCTCCAACTTAACCTCTTTTGGTTTGGAGCTGTCTCTTTTTAGTTGCTTCATAAATTATCTTGCTTACTTTTGGCTAAGAAAAAATGTTACTTCCAATGTAAGTATAATTTCCAGAAACACAAAAATGACTGGTTTTCTCTTCCAGTCTTTAGTGAATTATTTGCAAAATATTATGTATTTACTGTTGGAGAAGTACGACTTTTTTTGCTAGCAAACAGCTTTGAAGGAAGAGGCGAAAGGGAGTATCTTATTAACATGGAATTTTGTGTTGAAGTTAGTGATTAGTCAAGTCCATGGTGAAAAAATCCTTTCACCAAGTTGTAAGTTTGAAAAATCAAGAAAATCATAACTTTTATAATTCATTTCTGCTAATGAGCTATTTAAACAAAACCCTCTCAAACACCTTTACTCATGGTGACTTAAGTTACATCATTACTAGAAGCAAACCAAGTACCAAATGTGATGGGGAGGCTGAGGACATAAAATTTGAGCTGTCATTATGTTGTCAGTATGGAAGAGACAAGGAGAGAGCAGTGCCATGAAAAGCAGTTCCTCACTTGAGCAAAGCAGAGAAAGTGCAAACTCGAGGATGCAATTTTAGAGAGGATCAAGTAAATTGAAACTTTTCGTAGTTGCTGATCGAGAAAAACATGAGTGCTTCACAAGCAGGATGGAGGTGTGTGAAACAGGCCAGAATTACTGCTTAGAGGCAGTAGTGGTAGAAACAACTTATGTTAGGAAAAGGTCAGCATTAACCCATGGACTTATAAACTGAAAGTATTGATTATTCACATTTTGTGGAGTAAGAATAATAGCTTTGCTGAGAGGACTGGGGTAGTTTAGCTTGGAGAAGAGGAGGCTCAGGGGGATTCCTTATCACCCTCTACAACTCCCTGAAAGGAGGTTGGAGTCAGGTGAGGGTTGGTCTCCTTTCCCAGG